AACAGACCTTTTGAGCATACAGGTTATACAGAGCATACAGATCATTGCTGCTCCTACAACACTCTGCCCCGTGATCTATGATTATTACAGTAGTTGTCATTGTAGGGCACAGTCATTAGTTGCAAACAAACAAATCAATTATAACCAGGTGAATATAATTAAAACCATTACAATTGACTAAACATGAGATATAACAAACACAAATGCAAACAATTATAATAATTAGGAATACAATAAAACCATCACCATTATTATAATTAGGTACATTGAAAACAAAATGTGGTCCAAGTTTGATGCTGCAATAGCCATCAAACAATAAAAGTTACTGAGGTCAGGACCTCCTTAAGTACACACAACAAATAAGATCCGTAGGAGTACCACAATCGTTATGCAAGGTTAAACTGATTTGGACTTAAACTAACATTTAGTTGCTAAAATGCTGCAGAATCACCTATTACTAACAGTTGTTTTTAAGAGATCTCAGGGGTGGGGGTGGGGGGGACAAATCCAAGAGCTGAAAGACAGGGCCCTACAATTACGGGCCAAGGTTTTACAGGTTATGGGGGCCCATGAAATACCCTTCAGGGCTTGGAGAAGTAGAACCAGGGTGCATAGAGGAAAATGTCAAATTAACAATACAAGAAAATGTAACTAACACTACTACTCTTGGGTCAAATCCTCCACTAAGTTGCCCGCATTCTCCACCAGTAATGTTACCCGAAATTGGGCCAGCTAGTAAGCTTAGGGAGGACTAATGACCCACCAGACTTTGGCAGAAAGCAGCACGTTTATTATACTGATAGCTAAGCTCAAAAAAAAAGGGGGGGGGTTACTCTCACACTCACATACTCACGCTCCCAGGACAGGCACAGCACTGGAGATGTCAGTAAGGATCCTTTAAGATAAGTGTCCCACAGTGCAGCGATGGATGGTGCGATGAAGGTAAATCTTTCCAAGGCAGGATGGAATGCAACGCGGTGAACCACTGGCCAGGCATTCTGGGCAAAGGGCCTTCACGGGAAGTACAAGCTTGTGAGGACCTGCTCCTCATGGCCTGTGACTAGAGATGACTTGGCCGTGTCTGGTTGGTCAAACTCTACCTTGGACAGTGTCCATGCAGTGTCCATGCATTGGGTGTGTGAGTGCTGCCTAATCAGAGTGCCAGACGCCTTGTCTAGGTGGGAGCTCTTCTGATCTTCCAGCTGTTCAAGCAGCCCATTCATCCCACAAGCATTCCAGGAGGGTGGGGGAGGGGGAAAGCCACTTCACAGGCATTCAAAGAGGGAGAGGAGACAAGGGGGGGCAGGGAAAGTGTAACAGACCTTTTGAGCATACAGGTTATACAGAGCATACAAATTACTGCTGCTCCTACAACACCTACCAGATACTCCTGGCTTTTCCCCTCTCCAGTCACTTTAAATCCCAGCAGCTTTTCTCTTTCTTCCCTCAGAGTCTTCAAATGGGCCTGGATTTTTTCCTGAAGAAACAGAAATGATTTGGGAGGTTTTATTTGGAGGGTTGAGAAGGGTGTGGAGATGGGTGTTTTTTCCATCCAAACCCCCAGATTGGTTGGTTCTAATCACTTTGTGACATCAGGACCACCAAGGAGATGAAACCTTATTAATGGAGACTGGGAGTGTGTCATATTCAGACTTGTTAGCAATTCAGGTCCAAATTTTTTTTTTAATTGGAGAGAGATCTCATTTGTAACCAAGCTTTATTGGTATTTGTGAATTGATTAGTGGTACAGCGCATAACAGGACTCTGGAGTCACTTGGGGATGAATCAATAAACCAGTGATCGAGAAGGCTTAATGAACAAAGTGATACAAATCCCAGAAGCCATCAGGGTTTAAATATGGACTGGGATTTCAGCCCTGAAGCCCTGGGGACTGCACTGGTTGGACAGAGCTGATCCAAGCACCAGGTCAAACCCCATGAGACGTCGGGAGGCCATTCGTCTGGTTTGAAGCTGCGCAGTCCCAGTTTTGTGGAGCACTATCCCTGTCCGGTAGGGACTCAGCACTGGACATGGCTTTGTCTGGTGAAAATGAGAGAGAGGAAGAAACAGAGCTGGATTTACAGCTTGTGTGTCCCCGGCAGGGTCCCCACACTGCCTCTGGTGGCTGGGCAGTTGCATGGGCCTCGGGTCTGAGCTCCCTTCCCCTGCCTGCAGGGACTCGGAGCTCCAGGGTTCCCTGCTGTCTGTGGCGTCTGGAAGCTGCCGAGGACCCCCACCGCCAGCAGCGGCTTGGAGCTCCTAACCCCTGGGTACCACCACTTTTAACATTTAGGCACCCCAGTGCCCCCTGCACAGCCCCCCCCCCCAACTTCCCAGTGCCCCACACAGACTCCCCAGTGCCCAGCAGGGGGTGGGGGGGGGCACCTCCGTGCAGAATGACAAAGGCAGGGTGGGCCCATGCAGGCAGGTGTGGGATGTCCCGTATTCTGGGGATGTATCTATGGCCACCCTATTAGAAATGCAGATTTGTATAAAGAACATTTGAGGATTGCCCTAGTGCTGTCCTAAACCTTTCATGACAATGTGCTCTGGGTAGGTACCTCACTGTCCCATTCCCTGGTAAGGATCCCAGAAGCAGTGGATTCTGGGAGATTTCCAAAGGCTGCAGGTGGGGCTAATGGAATCACTTTGGCTGGTCCTTGCCCACGTACACACTAGTGCAGTTCAGATTGACACAGGTCAGCACTGCCCAGAAGTTATTTGCTACAATCCAGGCTAATCCCCCTGGTATTTGGCCCAGCCCTGCGCTGTCTGGAGCCCTTTTGTGGGTGGACTCAAGGTGTTTGGGGTCCACCCAGTGTTTAGCCCAGTGATCTCCTCCAGTGCAGGCCGGCATTGGAGTTTAACCCCTAATGGAGCAACACAGGAATTCAGCATCCCAGTGAGAAACCTCATCTCCCTGCTGGGCCTGGGACCTTTATCGAGGAGTCTTTCCCTCTTAATGGACAAACTTCTTCAAGGGGGGCTGATACTGAGGTGGCAGCATGGCCTAGTGGTTCAGGCCCTGGACTGGGATGGGAGAGCTAGGTTCTATGCCAAGCTCAGCCAATGACATGCTGGGTGACCGTGGGCAACTCACTGCCTGTCTTTGTGCCTCAGTTTCCCTTATCACCCTTTGTTTGTTTTGCTTATTTAGACTGTAAACTGCTCAGGGCAGGGCTTGTCCCTCCCTGTG